GAATGAAATACTGCGAGAAAGAAGATTGGCGTGTCAAAAAAATACTGTAAAGCTTGAAGTAGACAAGGCAAATTTTGTCGAGCTGAGTTTATTTTCTCAGTTTAGGTTGCAAAGATCATTATATGTTTAGTTGTAACCTTCAGTGGCAACACCAATGCAGTCTCAGAAAATCTTTTAGTTTTAATCCATCCTTATAAGACTATTGATGTAGTAAACTGTCTAATTTGATTAAATTGATTTAAGGTGGTTAGCTTTGTTAAACTACCAGTTTTGTAGTTTAAATCATACCTAAGTAATCATATTTTGTGTGTAGACATAAAAGGCGCCCCTTCAGATCCAGGAGTGTGAGTGGTTACGTAAGGTGTCCCGCAGGGATCTACCTTAGAGCCTTTATTCTTCCAATGCAAATGATATTAAATCTAGACGATCACGAGTGTGTTATACATGTTGACAGGGGTGGAAAGGCAACAAAAAGCAACCTAGGAATTAGCTGTTAGGCAAATTTGACACACCAAATTTGAACTGACAAAACCTGCACCAATCAAAAATATCATTTGTTTCTTCAAAAGACATACACACAATCAGTTAAATTGTGCTGTTTGTGTTAATTCTACAAGGCTTTCCTCCTGAAATTTGCATGTGCAAAAAGGAAAAAATTTAAGCTGAGATAATGTGATGATCACCTGACACCTAATAGCCTGCTTTGCTGAAATACTGCAACACACTTGCCATTCATTCTACGTATTGTGATGCAACAATATGTAGCTTGAATGAAGTAATCCAACCTGGTCATATGAATGATGTATTGTGTAATAGCGCTCCTCTGATTAGATCTGTGCTGGTTCCGGCTCCCTCCTCCTCCATCCTTTCCCTTTCTTCTTTACAGCCATGTCTACCTGTTTGTCTAGGTTGAGTATTTAATAAATTATTTTGATTGTTGGCCTTGTTGTCAACTAATATATTCCTTACAGGTTACAAGGCTGATACAGTCAAAGTTGGTGACGATGACAAAACACTCACTCCCCTCCTATGACACGTACTTTTAACAAGTATTAGATAAGAACTGCAATAGATACGTTCAGTTGTGACGGCAACTGCTGCCTGCTATTATGGATTTCTCCAACCATGTCACTGCAGCTAAGGTGACCCACTGAATGTCTGCATGTGGGATGTACAATGCCGGGTTTGGCAAAAATAGACCAGCACTAACAAGACCAGCCGAATGAAAAATTCCCGAACTTTCTAATGGCTAGTCCACACCTCTATGCCGATGATGCCGCTTTGTGATAGCAAAATGTGGCTTTTGAAAAAGAGTACATTTCCCTAAATTACCTCTCTTACTTGCCTTAAAAAATTAACTTGCTTTGACCTAATTTCTTAATGACAACTGCAATGGATTCAAGATGGAAGCCTGTTCTTCAAATGAAGTGCACATCTCAGTACATGACTTAGGTGCTTTGCTTGATCCAAATATTTTGGTAAGTCTGCTTTTCCAGAAATCTAACGCCCGATTCAAATTCACAGAGGGAAATAAAGAAATGTTACTGGCAAACGCTGCCCAATTAATAACTGACAGACCAAACCACAGACTTGGGAAGCCCCACAGTATCCTGCAGTACTCATCAGTAATCATCTTTTTGGCTCATTTACCAGGAATAGCTGAAAAATCTGTCTGTCAAATATGAGCCGCTGGATGCTATCAAGCCTCCTGACAGGCTTTGAGCCGTTTATACTGTTATGTGTCAGTCACTCCATGTTATGCTAATTACAGAATTAATTAGCCCACATGCAACTTGCTGCAGTGTAAAATAATGTGCAGTAATCAAAGGATGGAGACCCAGTCTTCTTAATTGGAGGACTTGCACCTTTTAATCTACTGAACTACTAGGACTACTTTAGAGGCAAGAAGCTTTTCACATTATTTTGTGTCTTCTAAGGCTTGTGAAAAGCAATCTAAACGTGCCGAGGAGGATCAACAGACATCTTTATGAGAAAAGAAACCCTATCTGCACAGTTTAAAGAAATACATTAGGGAGCTTTGTCTAAGCAATGTAGACATTAATAATATTTTGTTACCTAAAAGGGGATGTGATTTCTTTGCGCCATCTTTGGGGGCGTTAGTACTTTCACTTGAAAAACCGAACATGTCTTCATGAATTAATCTAAAACAAAAGACGTTCAGCCTTGGGAAACATTTAAAAACTGTAATGAGAATAAAAAACCTCAACCTGCAATATCCAAGCAGCACGTCTCAGAAGTTTGACAGATGAAAGAGCACGTATCTTAGAATTTGTAAGGAGCCTTCAAAACAGGTTTGTACCAAATTGTTTTAATGTTCAGATTAAAAAAAGAAAAGAAAGTGGAGCAAATGGAAATCATTAATTGATTTGAGGGAGCTCAAAACAGAAGAAACAAACATTTTCGTCTTATAAAAGAAGGGATTCTGACAGCAAGCTCTCTATCTTCCTCCCATTTCCCTTTGCTTTGAGGAGATAAGTGGGAATCCGTTAGATTGAGGATGAAAATACACTGAAACATTGTCATCCAACATGTACCAGCGTTTTCTTTACAAAACAATGCCTAGAGGGACAAACAGGCCTCTTTAGTTCTTCACAGCTGTCGGAATGCTTTTGCATTTTTTGTGAAGAAAACCTGTTCCTACCATTCCAGTGAAAAGCCTGCCACAATCATGTCTTGGTGTTATGACCGTAAACAAATTAAACATCTAAGCCATTCCGTACCAAATGAGCCACTCAATTATAACCTTGAAATTGATTCTGGCCACAGTGGAGATTATTGATCCTCTAAATGTTTGTCACAGTGCTCCTGTCAAAAGTGAACAGGAGCGCTGTAAACAAACATGTTGGTCTTAAAGCTATCTGCATTACAGGCTGCATCATTTAAGATATACTATAATCCTTTCTAACTGATTCAGAATCCTTTAGACTTTTTGGCTTTTAGCTGCTATCTCTTGTCCTCTTACCACACACAGGACTGCCTTCCTTTGCGATCAAAAGTAAACATGTACAACTTTGCATCACCTCGGGTTTTTGGGATTTCAAAATGGTCACTTCTATACTCTCTTGAAATGAAGTTATCACTGCTAAACAATGAGCTGCGGCTGCCAAACTGCTGTCACGTCCCATCACCGTTCTGGCAAGACACAAGGCAGGTGCCAGGGAGGCGAGAACCTCAGCTCAGACTAAAACCAATCCACCAGCGCTCTAAGAGGCTTTCTGAAAGTACAGCGCAGGTGCCACTCACAAGAGCTTACATTTAACTCCTCCATATTTGACCACTCTGCTAGCAGTTAAGATGGGAATATGAAAGGGCTCTGATGCTGCACATCAACGTCTATTACACACTACAGATACCGGGGCACATATGTAATGCCAATTCAATGAATAGTACAACTGCTTTTTTCCCCACTTTAAGCACAGAGCCAACATACACATTTAAGAGGGTGACATTTAAGAGGAAAACATGTACCGATTAAATATTATGAAAGCGCACATTTCAGACTATTATTTACAGTCTATGATGCCATTACAAGCTAAATATCTTTTCTTGATTTCTGATTCATCATTGCAGTGTTATTGCAAAAGCAAAAACAGGGGCAACTATTTCAAGCGCTGCTGGTTCTACAAGTAAACTACCGTTAATTATTCTCTCAGATATTGTTACACGACTCCCCATTAACTCCCAAATGACTCCTCAAAACAGATCAAAGATTAACAACTCTTTCTAAAGAGAAAAAAAAAAAGCACAAAAGGTGACATAAAAGGACATAAAAACGTAAGAAGAGAAGTTGGCTACAACTCAAAGGTGAATTTCGGTGAGAAACAGCCAATCACAGTGCTGGGACCAGTTGCCAGGCAACCAATGTAAAGGTTAGAACAGGTTAGCTGTTTGCAGTCTTTGTGCTTAACTAAGCTTACTAAGACTGCTGCCTTTAGCTTCACATTTAGCATGCAGACATGAGTGGTTTTGATTTTCCCAAGTAAATTTATGCATTTATTTGAAGTTTATGCCCAAGATGTTGAACTATTGCCTAAATGAGTTATTTTTAGATACACGGTTTTGGACGAACTAAACTAGTGCGCGCTGCTTTGTTCACAACTACAATGGCAAAGCCTTCAAATGAATTTGCGCCTCTGATTTGCTTCTTCTCCAAAGCAATGATGACTTATGGGTACTTCAGTAGAGCTGTCCGCTACACAAAAATTAAAATAACTTAAACCGGTGACCAAAGTCTAACTTACAGGATTATGACATGATAGGACAGATGCTTGTGTTTTTATGTTGAGCAAAACTGAACATATCATTAACAGACAAAAGTGAAAAGGAATTTCAGAGTAAAAAATATTTCTGGAACCAGTGGCCCCTCCTACTCTACTGAAAGCCTTGACCGACAATAAAACCTGAGCCTGCAGTATGTCCCATCTTTCTGTTGCCACTATTATAAAATGAAAAAGCTTATGTGATGCTGTAAGCAACATGCATCATAAAACAAAGAAGTTTAACTTTGATGCTTCAAGTGCAGCAATTCCCCCAGTGGAGAAGTAACACCGCGGCTGTATGTCTTTTTAACCACAATTATATGTGTGTGTGGGCTACATTTTATGCTAAATTAGTTTCAAACCACTTGATCCTTGATGCCTGCCAAGGCGGTTAGTTACAAAACTTCAGGCACTGCATTTAGGGACATGTACACTTCAAAGGTATGAAACTCTTACCTGGAGAATGATTTAACAGTTGGCTTGAAAGCAATGTACCCTTCATTAAAAAGCAGAGCCAAAAGTCCTTTAGACACTGCAGCACTTCAAAACTAAGGGGAGGGCTTTCCATTAACTCAATGGAAAAGGGCTGCAGGACTGAATGGTGGATGTCTGCGTGTGTTTTTGTTCCTCTATGTCTTTGCAGCAGAAATGGCCACGGATCCATTAGCCTGATTTGTCACAGCAGGAGCACCCCAAAGATCTCTTATCAGCACAACGTACCTCTCGAGTGGCGAGTCTGTCGCTCATCTCCTCCGCCTTTGCAATGTCCCCTTCAGCTATGGCCCTCTCTATGCTCTTTTCTAGGCCGGACTGCAGAAGAGGGAAAAAAAATTCAGATTTTTTTTTTTTTTTTTTGAAATGGGGTAGCGAGAAAAAAAAAATCAAAGAGTAACTTCAAAAGTCCTCAGGGCCTTATTTTTAATATGATTGCCATTACTACAAATATGTAGATTTTGCTTCACAAATGAAAACCTTTTTGATTGGATATTAGTGGGGAAATCTTAGAAATGCTACAGGAGATTACCAAACATAAATGTGACTCTTTAATTACACATTTCCATTACAGGCCTAAGCAGAGGGGGGTGCGGAGAAGCCCCCGGTTACTGATGGCAAGGCAGTTCTGCTGTGATGAGACTATCTGAGGAATCCGAGCACCAGATTTCTTCAGCCCCCAAAATTTCATCATGGTAAAAAGATACACTGGAAAGAGGCTGTAATTATTAATGTGTCCCCTCTGATGTATTGTTGACTCACTGTAAAAGAACAGGGACAATAGCATCAGGTTTAAAACCAGAGTAATTATTTCAGTAAAACTATTTTCTCTATAACTTTAGTTGATTCACCTTGCCTTAGCATGCTCTATTATTCTGCATACATACTGGAGCTGACACTGATACAACCTGACTCGTGATCTCAATTATCGTCTGCTGCATCTCACAAACAAACTGACAGACCATCATCGTTTATGCTATTAGAATTTTTTAAGGTCACTGAAGAAATGCTGTTGGCAGATGTATAATGGCATCTGGCAGCTATGATATAGTTTTTCCTCAAATGATTGTGTGAAAGACTTGCCAGAATAAAAAAAAAATATATTAATTACAAGGATCTGCATTTGAGGGATGAAGGAGGCTCTCATTATGTTGATGTGACAAGTTCTGTTTCATTCAGCTTGTTAATCATTTCTTTTATCCCTTCATAGTTGGCCTATTCAAAATGAGGCTAAAATCAGCAAAAACTCAATTTTATGCTGCTTTGAGATAAATTAAGCACAAAATACTCCAAAATAATCATTAAAAGGATTTCAAATTGGAATGAGAACAGTTCCCATTCACTGGGTCACTTATAACGTTCATCAAGCTTGCAAATATTTTGCTTCATTGGCAATTTGCAAGCCTTTGCATAAAATGTTCATTCATCTTCAAGTGCAGAAATGTATGTGAGAGGATAAAAGTTTAGTTTTAATTTTGTAAATTATGAATTCCACAGAAGGAGCAGCACATTGCTATCTATTACCGAGCCATTAATTTAAATGTCCTGGCTGCAATTACAGAAGCTGCACCAGGTAGTCTAACGCTGTCTTCTTTTGTCGAGCAACATTTAGATTTCCATTAGGCTTTAGCAGAGAAAACCTACATCTCACTTTAATCTTAACCACACTAGAAAGGAGATTCACCCTAATCTTATCACTAAACGTAGCTGAACATAATCCCTAATATTCTTCTCAGTGTCAGGTTGAGTTACCACAACGATTCTTCTAATCCATATGTCATATCACATAAAACAATGAGGAGATACAGTGGCACAGAAACACAAAGGATGTGAAGGTGTTAGAAACGGCGACGACAGACACAGTATTAAACCTCAGAAGATAAGTTGGAAGGCAGTCTTTGTTACCTTCGGAGGAGGTTTGGAACATGCAGGGGGATGAAATCGATCATTTACACCAAAATACTGCTGCAGCTCATCCCAGTGCTTCTCCCGCTCCTCCTGACGCTCTCTGCTGACAGACAAAACATCTGCTAAGGTTCATAACACGTAGAGCAGCATTATAATGAGGCTAAGTATGTTTAGTAGTTCCATTCAATGTTCGTCTTATAATTGGACTCCGATTTTTTTTACCAAATGCAGAAACCAGATCTACGTTTTCATACCTAACTGTATCAGCATTCTGTGAAAGAGTTTACAGAAGGAAGTTTACTGGTTGATAATTAAAACTTGCTAATATATAGAGGATGTAACAATAATCATCACTGTTTTTTTATGTTCCCTGCAAAACACAAACACTATGTATTTTGAATCAACCATATACAAAGCATACTATTGGTCAGGTAACCACTAGATTCTCTAAAGGTATGAAACTGAACTTGCTATCATTATGTGAAAATGTGAAGAATCTGACGTGTTTGGTGTAAACATTCACCTGATGAGATCTCAGAGCCATCTGCCAAGACGTGTTGCATATACAGGCTTTGTTTCCCTTGCAGTCTATACTTTTCGCTGCACATTTACTACCAACACTTGGCTGTACACAACCTTTTGACAATTAGCAGTAGAAATGTGTCCCACTTTAGTTTCTTATTTATAGTCAGCTATTAAATATAAACTGCCCCATGTGGCCTTTGCAATGTGCTTGTACCTCGTCTCTGCAGGTTCTTCACTCTCTGTTCCTGTTAATTGACATGAAAGACACAGTTAAAGGTTTGTAAAATACTTTGATACATATTAGCAACACACAAACAAACGTTTCAAAGCATACCCGGTGTATCAGTAGTAGAGGTCGACTGATTATGTGATCTAATATTCAGGATTTTTCTGATTATATGTATTGTTCTCTCTCTTTTCTAAACGGATTTCTTGTAAAATGAACTCTATCTGTAGTCGCTCTGTGGTCTTCAGCGATGTTCCACTCACAGCACTATCTGACTGTGTACACGTCATGAGTAATGGCTTATCAACACTGCAGGATGATTGGGGAAAAGGTTAGTTTCTAATTAAACATTTGTAGAGTGTCACTATGCAAAGCCTTGTTAAAGAAGTTAGGTGTTCAACTTTGTGTTCTTCTACATTTTGACACCTTTACTGTAAAATTTGTATTGTTCCACTTATTGGTTATTGCTCTCCTTGATTATTAATAATCAGTATTAGTACTGGTCATGAAAAAAAAACATATACAAGGTGATTACCTAAGTTTCTATCATGGGCAGGGTTGGTATTATTCATCTTGTCTTGTCTTGTCTTTTCTTATGTCCCAGATATTAAGTTAGATGTTTTTTTTAACAACACAGGTACAAAAAAATACCCAGAATTGAATTTCTACTGTAGCATCACTGCTACCTTTCTTGTGCCGCCTTCTTTTTCTTCTCCCGGGGATCTTCATCATCTTAATGTCATCTTTCTTCCTTCGTAGATCCTGGAATTTCTTAAATACACACACAGACTGAATTCACAACATCACAGTCCTTGATTTATTTCTGCTGCACACATACAATGTTGTGATACACACACAGTCTAACAGGGCTTCACAGCCTCTCGTTAATCACTTCAAGTTAGCTGTTAGCTCAAGTTCAAGCAGGGCTGGGGATACTGCAGCAATGGCAAATGTTAATAATGTAACTTTGATAGTTAGGCTCACTTCTACAAGTACAGGCAGCACCACAACCACAGCAGCTCGGATGCAGCTCAGAAAATAACCGCTAAGTTTAGCTCATGTATACAAAAACAACATACTTGCCACGCTTCCTGGGATATACCAGGCATGCTGCATGTCGGAGAATCACTGTCTGCATCACCGGCATTGTAAGTCGACTGTGTCTCCAGCACCGGACTTGTGTTTTCCGCCGCAGAGCTCAAATTTTCAGCAGAGCCCTTCTCACCCTCCCTTCTCTCCTCCACGTCCTCCTGCTGCTCAGCCTCCTCATCTGGACTGAGGTCGTCTTCGGTTATGCCTTTGGGCAAGAGTCCGCTGTACATTGCGAGTCTAAACTTTACATCTATAGTATACTGTGGTTTATTATTTTACTAAAATAAAAACGCTTAAAAATCGATACAAATAAAGATTTTGACCGCAGTTGTTGCCGGAGACGCTCATTTCCGGGTAAACACGGTGACGCGTCTTGTTAGAAAGCTCTCATTGGCTGATAGCGGGCAGCGCTGAGCACATTGTCCAATCAGAACTGTCCTAACAGCGGCGCATGCAGATTAAACGGAAGTTCCTATTGGCTGTTTTTGGTCGGAGCGGCGTTTGACAACTTTGAGTCAAACTTGTGTATTTTATTTTTATTTTAACTAACATGGCGCGTTTTGGTGTAATTATTCGGATATGGTGATATTTTTCGCTCACATTTAAGGACATTCAGGGGCGTGTGGCACTCTGAGCTCGCCTTTTCCAGTAAAGTAAAGTCAAGAACAAGCTGTTGTGGAGCATTTCTAATTGAGGTGAGCCAGGCTACTGACAGGTCCGTGAATTACCAGGAATCATTCAAATGTTAACCTATATTTGTGTCATGTTCTCGGTGAGATAAGCTTCCTTCTATGACCAATGGTTCGCAATTTGCTCAAAGTGCTCTGGGCATTACATTATTATTAGAATGATTAGCATGCAAATCTTGTATAGCCCCTGGCACTGGCACAGGCATCTACCCTTAAATTGCTCTTTCACACTCATTCACATTAGGCTTTCTTTTGGTTGCATCTTATTGCAGGGCCCGTAATATACATAAATTATAGCGTGTAGTTTCTGTGCCGTATGAATGTAATATAAAGGCAGAGACCTATATGTATACATGTACAGGTCAGTGGTCAGGCTCAGGTATGAGAGACTTTTCTTGAGTTTAACCAATAAGATAGCTGTACTTGATTGGACAGAAAAATAATGTTCACCAGCTTTATTAGTATTCCCAACCTCTCAAATGTCAATAAGCCATAACCTTTGTCTAAAAAACACAATTAATTGCCAGAAAAAAAAAAGATTTAAATGAGATAGTGCTAAAACAGCAAATCAAAAATCAATCAAGAACAATTGTAATAGTTAGTTAACTTTGGAATTCCTTTAATCAAGTAAAAATACAAAGTATTTAGCGACTGCAGATTCTAAAATCACAAGTATTTGTTGCTGTTTTGTTTTTCTGTGTTTATTTGCGTACATTCACAATGCTATAGCTGCAGGGATCAATTGTTTAATGAATTAGTTGTCAACTAATTAATTCATGTCCAACTATTTTGATAATTGATTGTTTGATTTCAGAATTTCCTCAATGTGAATATTTTCATATTTCTTTCCCACTCTGTGACAGTAAACTAAATGCCATTGGGTTTTTGATGAAGCAATTGGACTTTAGGAAAAAACTAATTTACCATCTTGTGACATTTTATAGAACAAATGACTAATAGAGTAATTAGTCGAGAAAATACTCAGCAGCTTAACCAATAATGAAAATAATCAGCACTTAGACCTTAAAATTGACTTAATGTGTAAATTAGAGATTTTAAAAAGATAAAAGACACGTCATTCTACAAAGAATCTAAAAAATGTCTGATGATAGATCATGAATCAGATCAGACATTCAGTGCCAGCTTTCAGTCAGACATTTTTGTCTCTAACAAAAAAAGTATTGAGGTCTTTTTGGCCCAACTGTAAAAGAAATAAAAGCAGCAGACCTTGCTCTCTCCTTGACCTTCCCGTGGCCCAAGATGAGAGATTTACTCAGTTCGCTTTTGCAAAATGCAGCGCATATTAAAGTTGGCCTGATACGGCTTATGCTATATTGAATGTCATCTCGAACATGTAAAATCTCTATCTCATCCTCAGAAATATGCAACCATTAACTGGTATCACTCACTCAGCATTATCGTGACTTTAATTACATGTGTGACAAGTTGATGAGCGCATCAGCGTCTCAAGGTAAATGAGAGTCACAAAGTCCTGGTAATACTAAACAATTTTGGCATTACAGGTCTGAATCATTTCCTTATTGATTACTAGACTTTGTGTTCTATTTCACACTTGAATTAATGTCTCTCAGCTTTCCCACCATCCATCTCTCTGTCTCTCCCTCGCTCCCTGTGTCTCTCTCCCTGGCATGTGCTCCAGTTCATTATTTCTGTCATTTCTTGGTAATTTGGAGTTGGCTGTTTAAAACTTAGAGCCTCTTATTAAGTTTTGGCCATGGTGGATAAGAGGCAGGACTGTAAGAGCACAGAGATAAACTAATCATCTTAAAACCCTAATTATTAGTATCTTACTGTGACAGACTGTTTTTGCGAGCCAGCCAAATTGAGCCTCAAATGAGGAAAGGCATATCTGTGGAAGTGGTAATAATTTTAAGTCATCTCGATCTGGCTTGGTGTGGCAGAATTCATTAGTGCAGATTAGCACTGTGTGTACAAAGTAAATGAGATATCTAATAGCAAACGTGGAGGTCTGGGGACTCTTAATTTCCTCCCCAGTATGAGGGATGATGTTAAGAGGTGATTATATATATTTTAACATTGTGACTTCTGCTGTGTAGATTTGTCTGCTCCTTTACCAAGCAGTTACACTAAACAGTGCCACTAAACTGTTGACCTCTCACCTTCTTCGGAATTTCAGCTGCAAGAAGGTGATAAAAATGAACTCCAAATCAGATTAAACTGTGTTACTCTGATGCGGAGGCAAGCTCTTTTTTCTTTTTTTTTTGTGAGGATATGAAGGAAGTTAATTATGTGTGTAAGGAGAAGGTTGGGGAAAAAATAATAAGATTACAAAGAATAATTTGCTGATATAATTACACCAAAATTGGGTACACACAATCGTAAAATACATGTATTGCTTGACCTGGGTTAGCCAGTGAAATAAATCCTCCTTCTATAGCCTTTGTTAATTTGTTTTTATCATCTCCAAGTGGTGTTTGTGCAGGCAGTTCAATTTGCATGTGTAATTCCACTGTGCAAATTGACAACAAGTAGATAATTCGAGGAAATAGGCTGGTTGCAGGCCCCTGCTATCTTCCCAAGCCTATTCATTTTGAGGAACCGCTGAGGCATGAAACTCATACATCAACTATTTCCTGACAACGCTTAGGCTTATTGTCCCCTAAAATGTCATTACAGCCATTATTTATGAAGCTAATTCATTTATTAAACCATATTTACTCTGACAGAATTTGTCACATTCTATCCATATCCTGAGCGTTGCTTTTGAACATTGTCTTTCAATGAGTATGTGCGAACACGTACAGCCTTACAAAGTTTCGATTCAACCCCTATAATAGTTGGATTATTGCGAAAAATGACAGTAGTTCTCGGTTTTATTGACTTTTTCAGGGAAAGTTTCAGTAGCAAAAGCATACACATTGTGTCGCACAAGTCCACGGAAACTAGCTGGTATGAAGCGGCGTCCTTTTATTTTGCATTTTTGTGCTAATATAGCAGAGCTAACATGAACGTAATCAGATGGATTCCAGCTTTTTTAGTAGCACCGATAAATCCCTGACAGCCTCCTTCCCAAATGAGTGTGTATTAGTCACTTTTAACGCACTGCAGTCAGACGTGAGGCTAAAGAGTTCTTGCGTCAAGCCTCCTGGCCTGTTGCTGCTGACTTATGGATCTGTCAGTTTAGCGCTGCACACTTCATGACAGTGTGGATAATTTGCAATTGTGAGCGATGAAGTAACACATAGGGGGGTCATAAATTTTAATGTACATGTTCTCTCTGGATAATTCCGTCACACCATTCTCTTGCATCTCTTTCTTTGGACTTACCTGTCACCCAAAAGCACTTATCACAGCAGTGGCGATGAGTTGTGTTTGAACTGTTTTACAATATTGATTTGGAGGCATGACATTTTAATTAATACTGGGTGTTAGCTGTCATATAGGCAGCCAGCCTCGTTGGTTAGAATATGAGACAGGCGAGGTGGGGGCAGCGAAGATAAGACTAAAGCACTTACTGTGAAAAGGCTGTAAAAAGGGATCAATGTGGAGGGAGAGAGACAGTCATGGGCTGAATTTAAGGTGGAAAAAAACAGTAATATCTGTGCTCACTGTATTTCTGTCAAGGTCCATTCTCTGCCCGATAACACAAATCAGTGAGACACAGCGTGCCTTCTGTCTTCCACAGGTTGCAGAGTACATCATGTTATTGGGAGTCTGTGTTGCCAGCAGACCCAGAGAGAGGCTGCGTGCTGAGAGACGACCAGGGGGAAATTAGGTAACTTTGTAGCACTCCATTGAACAGCAATAAGCTTTTAGGGCTTAGCAAGCATAAACACATTAAACTGATGAGATTCATCAGCACTCTTGTGTCAAATCTATTGTGCCCACAGGCAGAGCTCAACTGCAGCAAACTGCAGAGCAAAGGAAGGGTTGGAGACAAACCAGCGCTGTGTCCTCCGGATGTTTCCTGGTTTATCCAGACTGAGTCAGGTAATCTTTCAGCTGAAATATCAACCTCGGAGTTTGATATTGATACACTGTTTTTACTTTACAGGAGCAGAAATGTTTAGCCGCTTGAGCTACGTAGACATAACGAGAGGTTTAATATACTGTAGCATTAAAGAACAGCTCGAATAATCAAAAGATTATTTTCATTATTGATTCTTCTTTTAACTTGTTGATTAGTCATTAGTTGATTAATTTCTAATTAACTACTAAAATGTGAAAAATAATAGTTTTCAACAGATAGCAGTTTAAAAGCATCACTTTCCAGAGTAGCTCTAATTTGCATGTTTAAAAATCTGAATTAGATGTATAATTAACTTTATTAGCCATGATTGACACGAGACAGTGCATAGATAGAAATACAGAAACATACAGTCAGACAGTTAAACAAAGGCAAGCTAAAGAAACACAAGCAAATGTGTAGCCATTATATACACTGCAGGTACCAGCAGGCCCATCTGTATACTATGTGTGTCCTCTGCACTGTACACTATGTACATGGTTTTATACAAGTAGTGCAAAGGATGCTGCTTTGGTAGTACTTTTACATATATTTACAGCACAGGTACAGTAGACATAGTCTGCCCAGGCTCTCATACAACAGTCAAGGAATGTCATTATTTCTGTATGTATATGAATAACACGACCACAGGCTCATATGTAAGTATGTATTGACTGGCTATAA